GGATCAGACCAGATAGAACTTTATTGATCATAAGGATCAGACCAGATAGAACTTTATTGATCGTACGGATCAGACCAGATAGAACTTTATTGATCGTACGGATCAGACCAGATAGAACTTTATTGATCCTTTCAGGACGTGTTGGACTCAGTGTAATGAGGTTAAACCTCCAGCAGCTCTCATGCAGAGGAAACAGACACCTTATCTTCATGTTGTTGCTCTTGAGCTCCGGTTTCTACATTAAAACCCAAAAGTCTGAGTGAGCGTGTTTCTGAACCCGGTCTGGACCCACAGCACCAGTCGGACTTTAACGTTAAACTGACTGTGCAGCAGGTAAACGGTCCAACAGGTGTCTGAGTTCAGAGGAGTTGAGTGAATGTGAAGCTAAAGACACGACTGGCTCATCACGTGATCACAAACTGAACATCTCTGACTGCTGGACTCCAGCTAGACAGAACCACAAGCTCATGTTTTAGGTTTTCTTTCACTAAGTCTCATGAATCAGAACTCCTGGTTGGTGTCAGAGAGCTGAAGGTAAAGACCTGAGTGTGCGTGAAGCTGCTGCTGCTGCTGCTCAGGTTTAGAAGATCTGAGCAGCAGCTGGTGGAGACACCTGCAGAGAACACCTGAGCTGCTCGGACCTGTCTGGACCACACCACGCTGAAGCTGCTTCCACATCATTTTATTGACTTTTTCTTGATTTCTTCTCCCAAATATTCAAGTACATGGATGCAAAGATCCAAGAGACACAATCAGTGGCAGATACTTTCAGAACGAGTCCACCTCCAGGTTCCCTCTGCTCCGGCTAAGACACATGGACCTGTAAACATGGTACGGATCAGTCTCTGCTCGCTGATGTCTGGATTACAAAAGGTAATCTGGTAGAAAAATATCTGTTCTGTATAGGGATTCTCTTCTTATGAATATTTACAGGAAGTAGCTCACAGTAGAATCTGACGTGAAAAAGTTCATCGTGTAAAACAAACACAAAAAGCTCTGGAGGGTAGAAAGGCCTTTGGTTTCCAGAAAAATACCACAAAGAAGCACAAAAGAGTCCGGAGCCAGGCGTCAGGCGTCGCTCCTGGAGGCGGCCGGGCTGCACAGCCTCCTCTGGGCGAAGTGGCCGAGCACGATGAGCAGCATCTCGGAGGTGCTGCTCAGCGCCACGATGAACGGAGCCTGCGACGCGAAGTCGGCTTCGGCGCGGCGGAACGACAGCTGCATGACGGCCAGGGCCAGCAGGCTGTTCTGGACGCCCACCTCGATGCTCACCGTCTTCCTCTGCGGCCCGGGCAGCCGGGCCAGCCGGGCCAGCCCCCCGCCCACCAGCAGGCCCAGCAGCGGCACCGTCACCCCCACGGCCACGATCTGCGGCCGCACGTCGGCCAGGATGGACGCGCCCATCTGGTAGGCCATGAAGATGCCCACCACGATGAGCACCAGGCTGATGGGCCGGATCAGCGTCAGCAGGACCCGCGTCAGGGCCGGCAGCCGCAGCTTGACCAGCATGCCCAGCGAGATGGGGATGGCGATGAAGAGCAGCGTCCCCAGGATCTTCACGAAGGGCACGTGCAGCGCGGCGTGCACGCCCAGCAGCCACCCGTACAGCGCCGAGGACAGCGGCATGGCGGCGGCCGCCACCACCGTGGACAGCAGCGTCATGGAGATGGCCACGGTCACGTCCCCGCCCAGCAGCAGGCTGTACAGGTAGCCGCCGCCGCCGCCCGGCGCCGAGCAGGTGATGACCAGCCCCAGGGCCAGCGCCGTGGGCAGCGCCGCCAGCCGGGCCACGCAGTAGGCGTAGAGCGGCATGACCAGGAACTGGGCCAGCACGCCCAGCAGCAGCGGCACCGGGCTCCGCAGCAGCCCCCGCAGCACCTCCACCTCCACCTTGCAGCCGAACGCGCACTTGTTGACGAAGATGAGCGGCAGCAGCGCGAACAGCACCGGGTTCTCCGAGAAGTGGGCCAGGCCGCCCGCCTGGACCAGGCGCGCCGCCGGGTCGTCGCCGCCCGGAGCCACCCGGATCGCGTAGTCCGTCCGCTCCTCGATCAGAACCGGCACCGAGTCCCGGTCCAGGTCCATCAGCCGGATCTGCAGCTGCGCCCGGCCCGGCAGCCCGGAGCGGATGCTGATGATGTAGCTGCGGGCCGGACCTGCGTGGCCGCTGTCCGTCACGTTCAGGATGGACAGGACCTCCGGGTCCAGCGAGCGGACCGTCACCGTCTGCTTCCAGCTCTGGCGGCCCTTCCGGCTGGCCGCGGCGCTCCGGTACCGGCTGGAGATCACGATCACGCCGTCGCTGTTCTCGGGGAACTCGAACTCCTGCGACGAGCCGTCCCCGATCCGGATGTACTTGGTGCCGCCGTCGGCCGTCACGTTTCTGTCGCTGCTGCCGTCGACCGTGAGGTTCCCGGCGGCCCACGCCCGGTCCGGCCCGCCGGCGACCAGGAAGAGACAGCAGACCGTGAGCACGGTCCTCATGGCGGCGGCCAGCGGCCTCCGCCTCTCGGTCACACCGCCGCCCTGCTGCTCCAGCGCGGACAACTTCTCATTCTAGCCTCCGGTCTGAAAGCTCCGCGGCGGCCGGTTCCGCGTCTCGTCTGGGTCCCATTTTGTGGCTGCTGCGATACCGGAACCCGAACATCACCCCGCCCTGTGCGTCGGAGCCCGGCGGTCGGCGGCAGCAGTCGGCGGCGGCCCCGGGAGGCGCTACACGGGTCCGCCGGTCGGTCTAGTCGCTGCTAAGATGTCGGTGTCGGTCGGGCAGAGCCTCGCCTCGTCCTCCGTCGGTCGGTGTCGTCGCTCCGGTGGACGCAAACTGGAGCATCGTCGCTCCGCCGCCGTTTGTTTGCTGCTCCCGTATCTCCGGTGAAGCTCGGAGAAGAAACGGCGGAGTTCCGGTCGCGACCTGCCAAAATAAAACCCACACGGAGCTCCGACTTATTCATTTATTGATTTACCCTCTTACCAGCAGCCGGCCCTCTTCTCCCGGACCAGCTGGGATCACGGAGCGAAGTTAGAATGAACTAAAAGTATTATTTAAAATAATAAGAGACCTGATAACATCCTGCTCCAGCTGCTAGCTAAAAGTCGCTAGCATGTAGCAGCACTAGCTTCTGCCTGTGTCTAGACAAGGTGAGCAGAAGACAAACAAAATCACAAAACGAGCACAAAGTGACACAAAACGACCAAAAACAGAGAAAAAAGCAAACTAAACACTCAGAGACATCAGTCATGTGACAAACTAAGGTTTTAGTTTGTTTTGTTTTTCAAAGACACAAAAGAAGCTAAAGTGTGTGACGTAGCTTTAGCTAGATTAGCTTCTAGCAGCACCAGTTTATTTAAAGTTATTAGCGACCAGAAAAGGTAAACTAAAAAAGACAGAAAATGACAAAAATCACGTACAAATGGACCACAGAGACAAGCAAAGTGTGAAAAACTAAGATTTTATATTTAGTTTTGGTTTAGTTTTTACAACAAACGGAGGAAGCTAAAGTGTGTGACGTAGCTTTGAAACAGCGTGTCATGGAGGAAAATCTGATCACGTTTTGCTGCTGGGATAAATGAATGATTTGATGTTTGTTGAAATTAGCATGAAAATCTATTCACGAAAAACAAGCTAAACGTAAAACTAGTTTATAAAGGGCGCCGCCCCCACAGCTCACCTGTAGCTCACCTGGCTGAGCAGGTGAGCCATGAACAGGGCTAGTTAGCTGTAGTTAGCTGTAGTTAGC